GGTCTGTTTGGTTGTGGCTTAGGAAAAGAAAATTATTTTTGTACTCCTTTGAATCAGAAAGGTGAGTAGAAACAATCAGTGCTATCGTTACACAAGGGTGTCTTATTTTTAGAAAGCCATACAAGAGTAATATCAGGCAAAATAAAGTTCAGCTGAGGTCTCCCGAGTGAGATATTTAGAGATGCTGTATTGGCAAGCAAGTTCATCTGCACTGATAGAGATGGCACTGGTGAAACAAACAGCAGGAGATGAAGTGTTAGTGAAAGCAGATTTGTTTTCTTGTGGCCTAGAGGCAAAGGATGGGGATGTGGGTGCTTCAGGGACACCTACTCCCCTATGGCCAAGTTCCCGCACCAGGCCATCATGTGTCTTAACAAATCATGTGAAACTCATGAAGAAATGACACACTGGTGCCCAGTTAGCCAAGGAAGCCTCCCTCAGCCTACGAGGGAGGTAATTTCTCGCAGTTCACATGATTTTATAAAATAAGACTCCTTTTTCCTTCTTTAATTCTTTCCATGATGACATGAACAAATACCGTCTCCTCAGAAGTTTCAGTCTCTATTACTCCTTGTCACCCTCTAGAAGAGCCCTTCAGTCCCTGTCTAGCAGCAGACAACCAGCGAGAGGAAGCCAACAGGTTTAGAAGCTACCTTAGAGAAGGGGAAAATGTTGCAGAGCTTAGACCAGCTCTGGTTTAAGCATCCCTAAAGGCCACAAAATCCTTTGCAGCTTTCCCTGCTCATGCTGAATGCATGGATATTGTAGTCATTTCCATAACAACAAGTAAGGTCCAGAAACCAAGACTAGGCTTTCTATGAAAGACAAGTAGAAGATGCAGCAAGGGGTACTTGCTTGGATGCCCTTTCGGGCAGGGAGCCCAGTGTAGTTCAGAAGGATTTTAATCAGTAATTGGACAGAGGGAAGAACACAAATATACATCTGGGTTTGATCCCTGCTTGCTCCTTACCTCAGGGAAGATAGCTATGCAGTATCTTGAGAGTCTCTCCAACAAGACTATGGGGTGGATCAATTATGGGGCATGTTGCACCTACAGCTTTTGTTTTTTTCTTGCCTGCCATGTAGATGCAACCACCGAGTTTTAAGTGAGCGGAATTGCAAAGATTAATTGAAGATCACTAGTTTCTGCCCTATAATATACTGCCCTCCTAAATCTCCTGGGAATCTGTTTGTTTAGATCTCTTTTTTACTGCTGACAGAGGCAAACTGTTGATTTGGTCTTAGGTGGGATGTCAGAGGGTCTGAGCACAGCCAATTATGTACTTCAAACCAAGTAATGGCATATATTGTACCACATGTTATAGCACTCAGACACAGAAGAGTTTCTGCTTCTCAGGCTATTCCCCAGACATTGTTGGGAGTGTTTTAAGTATTTGGTATTCATGATATACTCTTTGGTTAGTATTTGATTCATTCAAATTGTTTTTCCACTGAGTACCAAGAACAATAATTTCCAGTTTTGATTCTTGAAATTACAACTTTAAAATTTCTTTACAATGCCAATATTTGCTTAAAGTACGCTGCTTCTGATAAAATGCCTGCCACTAAGCTTCTACGGTAGAGCACTCAGAGAGAGAAAGGTAATGAAAATTATTTTGTTTTTTAAAAAAACAACTTGTAACCTATAATCAAAAATATGCTGAGTAGTTATGGAATAATCTTAGCGATCATTATCAATTAGCCCATCTTGATTACTGGGAGCAAACTCTCCAGGAGCAGAGGAAGCCCGTATGTTTGGCCTCAGGAGGATAGATACGTGGTTTAGTGCTTTAGGGGGGTGCTAGTGCTGTTTAACATTTTTATCAATGATATAGACAGGGAAATTAAAGGCACCATCAGCAAGTTTGCGGATGATACCAAGCTGTGTGGTGTTGTCGATACACTAGAGGGACGGGATGCCATCCAAAGGGACCTGGACAGGCTGGAGAGGTGGGCCCAGGTGAACCTCATGAGGTTCAACAAGAGCAAGTGCAAGGTTCTGCACCTGGGCCGGAACAATCCTCGCCACCAATACAAACTAGGGGGTGAGGTGTTGGAAAGCAGCCCTGAGGAAAGGGACTTGGGGGTGCTGGTGGACGAGAAGCTGGACATGAGCAGGCAGTGGGCAGCTGCAGCCCAGAAGGCCAATCGCATCCTGGGCTGCATCAAAAGAAGCGTTGCCAGCAGGTCCAGAGAGGTGATTCTGCCACTTTACTCTGCTCTGGTGAGACCTCACCTGGAGTATTGTGTGCAGGTCTGGAGCCCTCAATACAAGAAGGACATGGACCTGATGGAGAGGGTCCAGAGGAGGGCCACAAGGATGATCAAGGGGATGGAGCACCTCTGCTACAAGGACAGGCTGAAGGAACTGGGGTTGTTCAGCCTGGAGAAGAGGAGGCTCCGGGGTGACCTAATAGCAGCCTTCCAGTACCTGAAGGGAGCCTACAGGAAGGCTGGGGAGAGCCTGTTTAGAAAGGCCTGTAGTGACAGGACGAGGGGAAATGGCTTCAAGCTGGAGGGGAACAGATTTAGATTGGAGATTAGAAGGGGGTTCTTTACTGTGAGGGTAGTGGAGCACTGGAACAGGTTGCCCAGGGAGGTGGTTGAGGCCCCATCCCTGGAGATATTCAAGGAGAGGCTCGACGAGGCCCTGGGCAACCTGGTCTAGTTGGGGGTGTCCCTGCTGACTGCGGGGAGGTCGGACTAGATGACCCTTGGAGGTCCCTTCCGGCCTGGGAAATTCTATGATTCTATGATTCTATGATTCAATCAGTTACATTTTTATGTAATAGCCCCTTCAGGTTTGTGCTCTCTTTGGGAAACCATGGAGATCAAAATGCATGGTGTAGTGGTAAGGAGAAAATTCACTTTTGGGGAAAGGATGGGCAGGGCGACTGGCAGAAGGAGTTCAGGGGGACTGTTAGGAGGGTGATGGAGAATCCCCTACCTTCCCCAAACTACTTCACCCTTCCTCATCCCCCTTCTCCCTTGAAACACCAGATTCCTCCTTCCCTATTTGTACTCCTCTCACCTCCGCTGTCACAGGCCTGAATCTTGCATGGTCCTGCTGTGAAGCATTGTGTCTCACCAACCTTCAAAGCTTGGACCCAACATGTCCCACTTATCTTTTTCTATCACGTGTAGGCTAACCCTCTAAGCCACAGTGGGACTCTGGCTCTGGAGGAGAGGCAATGTGGCTTTGTCTGATGAAACACCAGTTGCTATTATCAGCCTTGTTTTGTTTTCCTGAGAAGCAGACAAAAAATTTTCATGTTCCAGACATTTAGCCTCAGCACAGCACTCCCATGCCCATCCTTGGTCAAGCTTTGCCTACTGTTTATGTGATGCTTTTACCAGCATAGTTAACTTTTTTAACTGACCCTGTGAAGCAATGTTGCTTCAGAGGAAGCCTCAGCACTGAGCTGGATATTCTCTGTGTTATTTCCTGGGCTTAGAGAGGGTTGTTGTATCTGCAGCTGGTAGATATGGACTTCAGCAACCTACAGTGAGGTTGCTGAGAGTTGCTTTAAGTGAGGCTTGGCTGCTACACGGGTGTCTGCAACCTTTCTTTGTCCTCCTGGCAGCTTAAGGACAGATCTCAAAAACAGAAGTACAAGGGAACTGTTCAGTGCAGTAGAAGTAATAGTCCCTCTTTTAAAAAATCACAGTGTTGTAAATTACTTGGCTGAATTTACACTACAAACATTCTTACCCAAGCATATTTTTTAGTCTGGGAAATTATTCCTTCAAATAGGCCAAAAGAGGACAGAACGACTCATTTTCTGCTTACAATACACAATGTGACTTAAATCATATCCTATTGTCATATCCTACCGCACCCTGAATGCCGTATCTCAAAGAGGCTGGACTACCTGGTGCGAGTCACCATGTTTAGTATTTCCTGAGAAATCATACTTGGGCTCTGTACAATCACAGACCAGTTGTGAACAGCTGCAGAGAGTGAAAGAGCGCGGCACGTACTGCTGACACAGCTTGGTAGTCGTTATTCAAATAACGTTCGCAGATGCTTTTTTTTTTTCCTTTTTTTTTTTTGCTTCTTAACTACCACTAGCATTAGGAAACACCTTGCCCAACAAACACTACAGACTAGCAAAGCAGCAATCATGTTACAATTCTCGGTCCCTATCAGTTCCTAAATAAAGCAAAAAAAATCATGATTAAAATTCAATCACGTGAAAATCTACAGGCTAGAAAGCCTAGGAATGAATAGGAATGACTCCTGAGGTGGAGTCTGCAGTTGCAAAGAATTATTTCTTTTGTCTTTAAAACTCTATCTTAAAACTATCTTTTAGCTTTCTCACATCCTAAACCTCTGTTTGGAGAACTACCAGTATGTTCTGATGCATCCAAGACTGACTGAAGCAGGTTTTACTGTGTATTCAACACTAAAAAGGAAAAACGAAACTACCTGTTCAATAAATACAATCGATAGTATAATTAAGAGCTGACGATCTGTGTTGCAATTCACAATTTAGGGTAAGGATAGGCTTTTTCCAGAAGAGTTTATAATGTGTTTCCTCTTGGCAAAGGGCAGGTGCCTGGGGTTTGGCCCCGTCTTGCCCAGGAGTGGCAACTCTGCAAACAAGGGGGTGGCTGCCAGCCAGCTCCCTTATCTGCCTTGGGAAATGAGGCAGGACCTGTCTGATTTCTCATGAAACGCGTCTTCATTAAAGAACTTACCAGCAGTCCAAATAGTCAGAGGAGGTAAATTGCAATGTTCAGTTGTCAGCCAGAAAGTATTATTTCATCATAAAAGAAAAAGCCCGTGGGTGTGCAACGGCAAATAATTTAGCCTTTAACAAGCAGAGTGCAAATTAATTGGTAGGATTCCTCAAAAAATCAAGAAGGTCACTGCGTGTCTAAATGAAGAGGGACCCGACTGTTGACAGACTTGCAAGCTCAGGCTCAGTTATTAGACAGCAGCGGCTCTACAAAGCACCAGCAATGGCAATGGAGCGGCTTCATCGGGTGGCACTTACCTTGCCAGGGACACAGCTCCTAATGCCCTCCGCCGACCCTTCTCATCACCTTTCTGGTGTCCTCCGTAAGGTTAACGTAGCCTGAGAAAACCTCGTCTGCCCATTGGCTCGTTAGCGAGGGCTTGGTTGTAGGAGTACATTTTTACTCCATCTCCCCTCTTTCTTGTAAAAGAGAGAAACCACAAATGTTTTTCTTCCGGTTTTAGTCATTTCCTCTCTGCTTGGCAAACTCTGTTTCTCGACAGGATCTCTCAGATATTCAGGCTGAGTGCTCCTTCAATAAGGGAGCCCACGGGGAGAGCTTAATGGTTGTCTGTGGCTGTCGTTCAGGCACCAGATTCGGGGGAGCTATCCTGAGTAATAATTTCATTTTATTATGATGATTTACTTGGCAGTCCCAGTTCCTGAGGATATTTCTAACCTTGCTTCGGTGCGAATAAAGAGCTTTGTAGCTCTGGAAAGTCAGATAGCGGGCTTTGAGCTTTCCATGCCACAGCCCAGTGGTGAGATAGCTGCTGTCTTCCAAAGCTCAGCACCTCCATGGATTATGGTCATGGGCAATAAGTCCCTCAGTGGTTGAGGACCACCCTCACTCTTGTTCTTAATCACAAATGATTAAGAAGCCAAGAACCTGAGTTACCTGGAAAAAAAAAAATATTAAGGGATACTGGGGTTGCTGCAGACAGTTTTCCTTTCCATGCAGGTAGGCATTGGGAGTGATGGAGGTTTGGCGTGCACCCCTTCATTGGAGTGGAGCTGGCCTGGCCTGGCCATTTGTCTAAACCCACAAAGCAGGAAAGTATGATTTGGTGAACAACACTTTTCTTCAATGGCAAAATTACCATCAGTCATAAAGCAAAGAACTCTAATGGAGAAGGGAGCACGAGGGAAGCTCCTGCCTCCTCTGAGACATTGCTACAGGTGTTCTGGTTGTCCTGACCACAGGTGCTAGTAATTTTTAGAGAAACAACAGATGTAATACAATGCTGAGGCTTTCCAGGGCCAGGAGGAACAAGCTGTCGAGCAAAGGCTGTTCAACCATGCTGCCCTTCTGCCAGCCTCAGTAAGCAGGGAGGGCAAAATCTAATTATCTCAGGAGAAAGGCACTAATGTCTGTCATGCAAACAATGCTCAGTAACTGGTCTCTCCGTATTGGTCATACCGAGGAGTCCCTAAACTCCTCTCATTGCACGGCTGAAGCATGTTTTTTCAGTTTAAAACCATTACTGCAGCAGGCTCGAGGACTTTTGCATCTTGCTCCTTTCTCATTTTCACTGCCAGCCACCACGGCAGGCAGTCCTCGTTAGCCCTGAGCCTCTCTGAGCTGGGGTTTGCAGACCCTGCGCTGCTCCTGGAGCACTCCCTAGCTCATTAAGCTTAACAGAGCAAGCCTCTCACTGGGGCTAGTTTGTGTCTTTCTTTTCCTCCCTCCAAGATTTGCATTAATGTAAATTTGCCGGTGATGAAGCTTGCAAGCAGGACATACTCAGGGAGAGCTGTATGCGCCATCCCAGTGTAAATTGGGGGGTTCATAAAGGTGGTGTAGATGGTTAAGGTAGTGGACTGAAAGCTGAAAGGCTTGAGGCTCTTTTTCCCAGCTCTGCCATGGAGTGTGGTCTCTGATAAGGTATTCTGGCACCCTGTTAATACCTTCTCTCTCCTCTTCTCCTTGGCAATATAAAGTGCAGAGTCTGTTTGCATCAGGATTGATTCTCAGCTTATATTTTTTTTAGTGCCGTCAAAAACTGTTACCTCTCCCCCTGGCCTGTACATTACATAGATACATGTAAAGTGATCCCCGGTACAAACCTTGAATAATTACAGCAATAAAGATGAAGGAACTAGAGAGACTTGGTCCTAAGAAACATAAACTACACTTCATGGGTGTCTGCATTTGCATCAGTGAGCTCTTGAGGACAGCTTCCTTTGGTTTTCCTGAAAAACTTTTGTTTCAGACAGATCTGTGTTTCAGGGGCTTGGGTTTGACCCCACCAAACACTCCAAAAAGCCTTTTCCCTTTTCATCAGAACAAAAATCTACATTAAAAGAATCCCAAATGTAGAGATATTGAAACCAGGTACAAACTGTTTGCCTTGGGTCTCCCTCGCATTTCCATGCACTGAGTTCATTTCTCTGTTGAGGGAATGAAGCTGTCTTGAAGCGCCAACAGATACCAAAAAGTAAAACCATCCACTGAGTTTCAGGGCTTGTGTCAAAAATATGTGAAATGATAAGTCTCGCTGGGCTTCCGAGCGAAGCTATAATAATTGCTTCAAATTGTGCTCAGGGTATTAGAGGTTTGCTGGAAGATTCATGGCCCAGAAGGAGCCTTTTACAGTAAATCTGGTCCCACATCTGGTTTGACGTTGCAGCCTGAAAATGGGTACAGCTTAAAGAGTTTTGTGTCTTGCCGGGAAGGCTGCAGCACAAAGCACTTGGTGTGTTTTTCTCCCGGTGGAGACAGAGCAGCCCAGACTTCAGCTGGTTTGGATGCTGACTAAAGCAGTGGCTCTGAGAGAAAAGACAACAGTAGCTTCTGGGTGTTTTGTACAAAACCGAAAATGCTTCTCCAAGAGGCGGGTTTTGGGCATGGTCTAAGCAGTTGTGTTCAATGACAGGCTGCTGGGTTATGAAAGGGTAAGCAGAGTCCTTTCTGATGCGTCTCGGTGCCAGGGTGAATTAAACACAGAAGCAGTTTGCAAGGAACGGTGCAAGCGCTGCAGAGGAGTCCCAGCTCAATAGGGCTGCTGCTCTGCTTAGTATAAAAGGTATAGACCTTCTGCTTAGGAGGTATAGACCGAGCCATTGCAAATGGCCTGAGAAATCAAGAGATTGATTTCAGTTATGCTCAGGGTCTCGATTCACCTCCCACCTTTGGGATGCTCACAGTCAAAAGAAATAAATAACTGTAAAATGGGAGACTGAGATCAGCTTCGCAATTTATAGTCAGCTGCACTTTAAATTCCTTTTTTACTGCTTTCTAACTGAAAGCTTCTGAGGCACGACTTTCTCCCAGGGAAGACAGACGATTGCACTAAAATTTCCCTAGGATAATTTGTTTATCTGAGCTAAGGTTAGATTGCTCAACATGCACTTAAGTAAATAACATAAAACCCAAGGACTATCTTTAGCTACTGAAAAATGTTTTCCCTAAAATAATGAAATATGTAACTGGCATTGCTTGAGCAGGACTTTATTATGTTGTTTCTGTATTTTTTAGTGTAGCGGGAAGAGGGCAGAGCAGTCGAGAATGTCGTGTCTGGGAGTGATGCACTTGTCCTTTTTCTTGGTACTAGGAAAAGCACCCAAGGCTGGCCCTGGGGCAGTAGCAAACCTGACTCCATGGATGACTGAATGCAGGGGCTGATGTCTGGATGTTGTTCTGACAAGACAGGGGTGAGCAGGGTGGGTGGGAAGCCTGTTTTTGAGGAAGTGTCAGATAGAATCATAGAATGGTTAGAGTTGGAAAGGACCTTAAAGATCATCAAGTTCCAACCCCCCCTGCCATGGGCAGGGATGCCTCCCACTAGACCAGGTTGCTCAAAGCCCCATCCAGCCTGGTCTTGAACCCTTCCAGGGATGGGGCATCCACAGCTTCTCTGGGCAACCTGTTCCAGTGTCTCACCAGCCTCCGAGTAAAGAATTTCTTCCTAATATCTGATCTAAATCTACCCTCTTTCAGTTTAAAATCGTTACACCTCCTCTTGTTGCTACACTCCCTGATAAAGAGCTCTTCCCCATCTTTCCTGTAGGCCCCCCACTTTAGGTACTGGAAGGGGCTATAATGTCTCCCCATAGTCTTCTCTTCTGCAGGCTGGACAACCCCAACTTGCTCAGCCTGTCCTCATAGCAGAAGAGCTCCAGCCCCCTGATCATGATAGCATGCGTGGAAGAGAAAAAGGGAAAAATGTAGATGTGGCACACATTAAAGTCTGTAAGTTGACAACTGGGAGGTGCTCACAGGTGAAGATTTGTTTTGGGTGGAATATTCTATATCCCTCCAGAGCCACGTTTCTGAGCCAAGTTTGGAGAAGAGGGTAGAGGGGAGCTTTAGAGGAAGGAATCGGTGTGGCAGCCTGAATATGACTTGTGCAATCTCCATGCTTGGTTTTCATATCCAGGGAAGGGAAAGATGTGAGTACACTAGTTGTGTACTAGAGGATCACAAGTTCACCCTGAGTCACTAGAATGACCTGCCCTTAAAGAAAGGGAAATGTGATCTCAACATGAATTGCCAGGAAGGACATAGAAATATCAATGCTCTTTTTTAAACACCAAGGAGATGTCATCTAGAAGTTTAGTCACCTACTTCCAAGGAAAATCAATTCATACTGGGACGGATGCAGAGACAGGTCATTAGGTTCATAAAGTAAATGATTAGGAGTTGTTTTCTTGTTAGGGAAAAGTATTAAAAAGCCTGGTGGTTTGTTTAGCTTAGCAAAACAAAAGCTTCAATTGCTGTCTATAGACACTTCAGCAAATACACACAAGAAAAAGAAGACAGCTGTTTAAGCTAAAGGAGAGCTCTGACACAAGCACAAATGAACGTCAAGTCCTCATGCCAGCCCTGAAAGGAGACCTCTGCCCTTGGGAGAAGGGAGTAATAGTGTGATTAAAACAAACCTCATTTGAAGGTGCAGATGGAAAGGCATTGTATGACCTGGGACAGGGAAGTACTTTCCAATCTTATGTCCCCATTTGCAGCAGGGCTTACAATACCTGGTGTTGAGAACAGAAGCATTTCAGTTGGTGGGCAGTTTAATGTGGGAAGTATGTAAGATCTTCCCTCCTGCCTTGTGCTTGCACAGTTTTGTGTCCCTGTGCAAGGAGCTGTAGAGTGCCATTGTTCTGACTGACTTCTGCTTTGGGTTTATTTGGACAAGAGTAAGAGTCTGCATTGAGACTGAGCTATTGGTTCATATGGAGACCAGCTGTGAAGAAAGGGAGAACTTTTGAGAAAGGCTGAAGCATGTGTGAGGGCACTTGCAGCAGTTCTGTGGGTTGCGTGTCTTGTTAA